AGCAGGTTGACACGGGCTTTAGTCTTGGACGTAACAGCTTTGACATGATAGAAGAAGGTTAGGCTACGGTCCAAAGTTGGTTACACCAAGGTACTTTGGGGCGGGTCGAAGTTGAGCCTCTCGCCGTTGAGGATGATGTTCAGCGTCGTGTTGGCACAGCGATTTGCTAGATGGAACAGTCCTGAGCAGACGGTCTTAGGCAAGCTGAGTTTGAGATGCTGGAAGTAGCAGCTCAATGTGACAAGATCTTTTTGCAGTGTGGACTCGATAACTTGGAAAGACTTGTTTAGCAATACCAAGAACAGAGTCGTCCCGTCTGCGTATTAAAGTGAGCTGAGGCACCATGATTAGCTGGAAGAACATAAAGTCCCTTTTCCGTGATTTTGTGCGTATGTTTTACAACTCTATGTTTTTCTCGATTGGCTGTTTATTGTAACGTCCCTTGGAAATCGGATAGTATTAGTTTTTGTATAATGTAGCCATTTATACGTTTTGAACAGCGCGCCAACAATGGAAAGATGGTGTCCACTGGCACAGGGAGTTTTATTTACGGCTGGGAATACGTTTCAGTGAGTCAGTGGGGGAGTGAGTGGGGAGTCATTGAGTCAGTGGGGGAGTGAGTCATGAGTCAGTTTGTCAGCGAGTCAGTGGGGGAGTGAGTCATGAGTCAGTGTGTCAGTGAGTCCGTGGGGGAGTGAGTCATGAGTCAGTGGGGGAGTGAGTCGGGGAGTTAGTGAGTCAGTGAGTCGTTATCCCTAAAAAATGGACACTGCGCTACCCATCTGGGAACAGCACAAACAGTCATTAATTTTGAGACCGATTTGTGTTTATGCAGCCTTATTTCTGTTGCTCATCCATTTTATAGGCCAGTGGCGTTAATCTGTGTTGGGGAGTGGGCTGGATGGGGGATGACCAAAATCTTAAAATTGCCCGGCCGTGGAAATTCGAAAAAGCCGGGGTGGGGTGGGGTAAGGGTGGGGGTGGGGGGGGGGGGGGGGGGCGGCTGGCTGGTCACCACATCACACCAGGGGGCGCTATTTGTGAATAGATGAACAGCTTATGAACACTTGCGCGTTTACTCCCCTTAGCAAAATCCGTTTTCCAGTGCTATTAAATACATTTTGGTTGTTCGAAAAATACCGAATAAGTGACGGTGGGGGGGGGGGGGGATCTCATAGCCCGGCTTCCCTCTGGTTAAAAAGTATGTGGGGGTTTGTACTCTCCCCCCCCCTTCCCGGATTTACGCCCCTGTTTTTGACTGATATTGGGTTTTTTTTATAAAAAGGGCTACTCAACGACGAAAACGTGTTTCGCGCCCAGCAGGTTAATTGCGCATGTTCTTTTCACTGTTTTTAGTTTATAGTATCCACTGAGCTGAAACTGCAAGAGGTTAGTTTTTGAACTTTGTTCTTTAGACTTTGAGTGGTTTTATTATTGAAAACGAAATTAAATGCATGAAAAGTTGCAAAAGCAAAGTTTACGATCCTATATGCATAGTATATAAAACATAAACAAAAAGTCCTCGAAATGAAGCTAGCTAACCAATAATGTGCACCGAAATATAACATCAATAATCTGATTGCTCATCTCTCAATGTTTGGAATAATAGGCCCTTATACAATTCCATTCAGTTGTTTAAGTTGTTTATTTTTTGGTACAGTTCGATTAGCTTTTTTTTTTTAAACAACCGTAATTCTTACTAAACATCTTACGTTACAAGAGGAAACAGCAAACTTTGTTTAACCTTCCCTTATTACGCTGGATTTTGCACAATATTTTTTCTTCAGATTTCGTTTGTTCGACTTCTTCACTTGTTACATTGTTTATTCACTTTTGCAAAATTGAGGGTTTTTTCTGGCATGAATAGATCTTGTCGAAAGCAGTCAGAACTTCACAAAGTGAGAAAGATGCATCATAATATACCGTAAACCATCCAATTATAATGAAATTCATCACAGTAATCACATTAATGTATCAATTAAGTTCCCTCACATAGTCGGCTGTTGTCATTTAGAACAATTTCAAGAAAATAATAAAATGGTATTTGCACACTCAAAAATATCCAAATTGATCTGTCAATAAAACAAAAACAAAGTATAGCTTTGTGTTTTTATTGTACGATGTACACAAACAAATCCTATAAACTACGCACACTTTTTACAAGCTGAATTTTTTTGGAAGCTGAACTTTTCCCCACTGTCACTAAGATAAAAGTTACTGGAAAATATTATCACACCGTTTTATCTTATTTTGGAAACCTACATTTCATAATAATAAATGGTTATTTACATGATACTCCGATAAATGTTATCATGGTTAAACATTTCTTGAAACACAAATATGTCCATGTTATACAAACTTGGTGACATAAAGCTGAGGTTGTCTTGCATCATCTGTACTCAACTCACAGGTTGTCAGTATTGCAAACAGAATAAGTGGAAACGTTTGTTTCATTTGTTTCATTTTTAAAGCAAGGTCTGAACAGTTCTAAATACATGTAGGTTTACCGTTAATATATCTGCGAATATATTTAGAAAATTAACCTCGTTCTAAAAGCTGAAGTTTTCTTTTATCAGCTGTTATATACAATTAACATACATTAATAATCATAATACATCGTCACCGACATCACGAAGTAACACCCTTCTAAATACCAGTAAAAACTAGCAATCGGAGAAAACGGCTACTAAAGTTGAACGCCTTCTAAAACAACACTTTGCGTCAAAACGACGGAGTATTTTCAGTCGGGGTTTCTCGTTGAGGACTTTTGATGAATTGAATTGATTAAAACTGCTGGTTTTCACCCGTTTGTGTATTAAATAAACAAGAAATAAGAGAAAAAAGATGAGTGTTAGTTCGTGAAACCGAAAAGGCTGCGAAACTGTAGATTTTCGTTTTCACGAAGTAACACTCTTCAATGTATTCAACACGAGGAAAGTGCAACTTCAGGTCAGCGCGCGCGCGCTCGTACAAAATTACAAGAAGAGTGTTACTTCGTGAAAACGTTTTTGCTCACTTATGAGCAGAGTGCGCGCCATGCATTGCAATGGTAAATGGAACTTGAGTGTTACTTCGTGAAAACGAAAATTGTCACTTTTGCGCAAAAGTTGCCATGGATACTTAGCGTTATTATTAAAGTAAAGCTGTTGAAGCTTTGAAACTTCGTGCAATGGTAGGCCTTGATAAATAATGTTTAAAAATAAAAAAAACTGAAAATCGAAAAAAAAAATGGTTTAACACGGTAGAGTGTTACTTCGTGGTGTCGGTGACGTCATGTACATCAATAATCATACAGGCAACATGAGCAACATTAACAATAACCTTCTCAAAAGCTACGGAATGGCCCGTGAATTATAATTGTATTACATAAAGAACGTACATTGCAGTATCGTTGAAATCTGCTTGGTTTTGTTTATCACTTTTTAAAAGGTACATGCTATAGTTAAAAGCTACTGAATCCAGAGAATATACAAAGGAACCTCGTTCCAAATATGAAGTTGTCTTCCATTATCTACTGTCATACAATTTGCATAATAGTACTATTTCATTACTATTTGATCTGTCTTGATTTCACATGTTCAGCTAACACTTCCATTACAGGAAATATCTTATCCAAAATACTTTTCTTAAAAATAGATGTTTTCTTGCATCAATTGTTATTTACAACACAATCACCATAAAGGCACAGAGGACCATTTGCATTTATCCCAAAAGTAACCCGCCAAATTATCAAAAAAGTTTACTTGGATTAAAGATCGTCATGGTAGTAAACGTCCCATGAAAGTATTCCGTTTTGCTTGCTGTCATTTTTAGACAAAATTAAGAAATATATTGATTTCCAACGACCACTAATAAAACTGACTGAAGTTGTGTAAATACGAAATCGTGCTTCGTGATCTTAATATTAATGATGTGTATATGGTTTTTCACTGTTTTCTCGAAAAACGTGATATCCACTGAGCTAAAACTTAACTGGTTTTGAACACTCTTCTTTGGATTTTGAGTGGTGTTATATTTCGGAACGAACAAAATGCATGAAATGCAAGTGATCCAAAATGCCTTTAATGAAATTCTGCTAGGTTCATTTTTCATTACGGCAACATACACAGTTTCTTTACACTATTGCAATTTACAGAAACGGAAACCTTTCAAAATCTGACGTTTTGCTTCCACTTGCTGTCAATTAATAAACTACGGTGCTCACAAAAACAGGGTGGGTAAACTTAACTAACGAAAACTAACATTGACTTCTCCGCATGAACAAACCAAGATGTATATAAACGTTGATACAATTGTTTTATTTTATTCAGATCTACCTTCTGACAATTAATAATTATGAAAAAACAGTACATTATACAGGACAAAAACCTTTATTCTTGATCATTTTGAAATACTTTCACACTGTTTATCCAGTTTCTATTAGTAAAGAAAGCTAAACATTCCGATGAATTTGTTGACACTGTTACTACTTTCACTCAACAGGGTAGTAGACTGTATAATAGCCTTTCGTTTTATTGTCTGTAATTGCAGAAGATTGACATGTCACATTCAACTCAAGAAAAGTCTTCCTGTTGGAACTTATTATTTTCATTGATTATTCTTTCAGGCGGGATACATATTAATTTCTGTCATTTTTTTTCCCAATATAGCTGATATTATGCAAAGTTGTTTTTCATAAAAGTTCATTATTGTAAGAACAGCTCTGTGTGGTTCATTATTATGACGGTAGCAATTATTCAAGGTCAGATGAAGAAATGCAAATGAGAAGTTGTAGACCTGGACGCTGGATTCTTCAACGGATATTTGTTTTAAAATAACGGGGATTGCGGGGAGCGGAGGCCAAATATCCGGATTATAGCTCCTTCAAGTTGGAGTTATTAGCCTTGAAGTGGGCGGTTGTTGACAAATTTCGGGACCATCTGTTGGGGGTGCCGTTCACTGTCCTAACGGATAACAATCCGTTAGCTCACATCAACACAGCCAAACTAGGTGCATGCGAGATGCGATGGGTGGCCCAATTGGCCTCATTTGACTTCGAAGTGAAATTCCGGTCTGGTCTGAGTAATCGCTGCGCCGATGCACTGAGCCGCTATCCTGGGCATGTTTCTTCCGAGGTGGAGGGGGTGATGCAGCAAGTTTCTCACACGAGTACCGTTCCATTACGTGCTGAGATAAATAGGATCAGTCCTACGCGGCCAGCAACTGAAGCGCAGTCTGGTGGTGGGCCTCCTGGGTTGTTCCCCTCGTGGTCGGCGGAGCAGCTCGCAGCGTTGCAAAGGCAAGACACAGACCTGGGAATTGTGTGGGAACGCTGGGAGCAAAATGCAGTGCCAGGCGAAGTTGCATCAGATGGCAAATGCGGTACGCGAGATCTGAAGCTCTGGCTCTGGCAGTGGCCACGATTTGTGGTCCGCGAAGGCGTGCTATGGCATAGAAAAGTCCAGGACCCACTGCACGGTGAAGTGTTTCAGATACTTTTGCCTCAAGTTCTTCAAACGCGTGCGGTTGAGGGTTGTCACGATGGTTGGAGGCACCAGGGGGTAGCCCGCACTTGCTCGCTGCTTAGGAGACGCGTTTACTGGCCGCGTATGACTGCAACAGTGCGACGGCATATTGCTCACTGTCAGCGTTGCTTAACTGCTAAGGTTGCTCAGCCTCAACCAAGAGCTCCAATGAGACATTTAATGGCTTTTCGGCCATTAGAGGTTCTGGCAATCGACTTTGTCAAGGTAGACAAGGGAAGTGGGGGGTATGAGGATGTTTTAGTCCTGACAGACGTGTACACGAAATTCTCCCAGGCGATACCATGCAGAGATCAACATGCAGTAACGGTGGCCCGCGTTCTTCGCGACCATTGGTTCACAAAGTTTGGAATTCCAACGCGCTTGCACAGCGACCAGGGGCGGAATTTTGAAGGCAGTGTTATCAAAGAGTTATGTACCTTGTGTGGGATCAGAAAATCACGCACTACTCCTTACCACCCGGAGGGAAATGCCCAGGCTGAAAGGTTTAATCGTACCCTCTTTGGGTTGATTAAGTCGATGGATGAGCGCAGCCGGCACAAGTGGCCTGATATGTTGGCCCATCTCTTGTTCGTGTATAATGCCACCCCACACAGTACTACAGGTATTGCCCCGTACACGCTCATGTTTGGACGTGAGCCGCTAATCCCACTAGATCAAATTCTCGGGCGTGCAGATTCTGCATGGGATCAAGATTTTGTGAAGTCGCAGTCCAAACTGCTCGAACGCGCAGAGAACCTAGTTAGAGAGAGAACAGAGAATCGGGCCGCGCGTAACAAAGCCATCCATGATTCAAGAGGGAAAATATGCGAGTCGTTCAAGCCTGGCGCAAGAGTTCTGTTGAGAAAGCTAGACTTCAAGGGGAGGCACAAGTTGAAAAATGCATATCACGATGTCACGTTCATTGTTACCTGGGTGAATCCAGAGGGGGACGTATACCTCATACGACCTTCACACGGGGGAACCGCACGAACGGTGAATCGTAAACTCCTGAGATTGCATCTCTCTGAATTGCCAGATGGTAGTGCAACAAGTAGTTCCGAGTCAGATGATGATTTCACATCGGGATTAGATTTAGGACAGTGTGATGATGCACAGGGGGTGAGGGATGGCGCCGACGAAGTAGTGGAGCCACCCGGTCAGTCTCTTAACGTAACGTTACCTCTCAGAAGGTCAAAGCGGAACACCAGGGGTGTACATACCAATCCCTATCACTTGCCCCGTTCTTCAATAAAGTAATAGGTTTGGGGGTTTACCAACGGTTAAGGCTTTTCTTGTTGAAAAGACACGGGGAATCCAGTATTCACAGGGAAAACCTTGCCGTTTGTTGCCACCTGACTTTTTGGGTTATAACCTAAAGTGTAGGTTGTATAAACTTAAGTGTGAATTTGATTCATTTTGCTTACACCAGATAGGCAAGGCTGCCGACCAAGTCGTCAGGACTTTATCTTCGGGACGTTTTGGGGTTTCCAGTTCCAGGAGAAAAAGATCCTGACACCTGAAGAAGTAAATGATATCTGTACTGTGCTATTCGAAGTAGTTTAGCCGATTGAGTGATTTTTAACTAGTTAAGCATTGTTTTTTTAGTATATCTACGTTAGTACATTATATATGCAATATGGCATTCGTCTTGTTTGGGCACAGCTTTGTGAGACGACTAGAAAACAGAAAGAGATTTGTACTTCAGATCGAGTTTCAGAATACCACAGTGTCTGTCCACTGCTTTGGAGAGGGAGGTCTGTCCCTTTCCCGTATCGAATCGAAAGGTAATCTCTACTATAATCGCCTTTGGGAGATGAACCCATAAGTGTTAATAATTGATCTTGGGACAAATGAACTTTGTTCCAGGGAGTGTTGTGCCAGCGTCGTGTATCAAAAGCTGTGTCGGTTTATTAAGGGATTGGCAAGTATGGTATCAAACCGGAAGCAATTGTTTTCTTGCCAATTCTACCTCGTACTGGTGGTCTACGCCCCAATCAGATTGACCTGGAAACATTCAACAGTCGGTCTGAAGAATTAAACATGTTGATCGAAGGGGGGACATTCCTAGAGGATCGTTGGTGGCTCTGGAGCCACAGGGGGTTGAAGCACCCACGATACAACTTAGATGGTGTTCACATGAATAAATACGGGGAACATCAGTATAGGGAGACCCTTCGGCGACTTGTTGGATTTTTCCAGGCTCGCTTATGGTGAAGATCTGCTTGCTGGTCTTGATTGAAAGAAGTTAAAGTTGTAGTTGCTTAACCATTGTAAAAAATAAGGGGTTATTAAGGGAGTAGTATCATACCATGTTTATTTCGGTTGACAACCACATTGCTGTTGTGTAAAAGGGGTGATAATCATTCACACGGGTTTCAAAATAAATTAAGGCTAACAAAAAAAGGGAGGGCTAAAGAATTTATGTGGATGGTTTGTTAATCCCAATTGGATCGTTGGAGCTTAATTTGAGTGAGCACAAATTGAGCCGGGATTGCAGAACAATGGGTTCGATCTCCAGGGGAAAGATCGATATAGTAGGGGAGAATGTGGGGAAATGATTATTTGGGGTGCTTGTTGTTTAAACTTTTGTTAATTCCCGTGCGCTAATAATAGGCCGCGCACCTGGGGCCCACTGGCAGGGGTCATGGGTCAAAGAGCGAGACGCGCTGACAAGTTGTTACAAATGTATACATTGGTGGGGGGGGGGGGGTACGGGTATGGAAAATGCAAGGCAGAAGATTGGGGAGTGTGAGTTGTGCCTTTGTTGTTGGTGGTCGATGGAATAAAATGAGGAGCAGTTTTGAGGAGCAGGGCGAAATATCAATCAAAAGACCGCTACATTTGGAAGATTTTGCCCGACCACCAACTTGACATGCTCTGCATCTGGACCACTGTAATCAGGCCAAAACGTCCGTAGTTGAGGCAGACGCCGGAGATGATCAGTCAGACTCTTTACTCCAGACAAACTGAAGTCATTTCGGGAAACACGAAGCTGCCTCAAACCGTGCCCGGCAGGCAGGATGCTGATCAGGTCTGGGACGTCATCATCATTCAGTCCACATCCGTCTAATGTCAACGAAGACAGGGACCGGGGAACAAGCGAAGCTACCCCGACAAGACGCCCGTGGAGGTTGGTGTTGGACACAGTTACGTCTCCCAACTTATCACAACCATCCAATGCATTCGCTAGTCTTATGACGTCTTCATACGTTCGGTTACGCAGTGTGACGTCCTCGATCTGATTGCAGACACGGGACAGGGATGCTAACTCACACTCATCATCAAAGTGAGACATCTCATTAATCTCCAGTTCAAGATCTATTTGATCACGAAGTCCCTCATTCATCCCTTCAAGTGTTTCGTCTAAGGTCTGCATCTCTTCGTTTGCTTGTTCAGATATGATGTAAGTGACTCTAAATGGTTTCACCGCCACAAATCTGATTGGCCTGATGTAACCACTCAGTAGCATCTCCCTCAGCAGTACCAGGCCTTCATGCGATCTACAGGTGGCCCTAAACCTGAGGCTTACTCTAGTGTTGTCACGAAGATGAACAGTAATATCCGTCAACACCGCCAAGTCTTCGTGCGATCTGCAGTGGACAGAAAACTCCTCAAATTCTACCAGTGGCTGATGCAGACACTTCAAGTAATAGCGCATGGCTAACAGATCCTCCTGACTATCACATTCAACGTCAGTTGGTCGGTCTAGCTTATCAGCCATTTTGTCAGAACCTGACTCAAGTAACAAAAGGCGAACCAGTTTCTGCAGTTTAACCTCGTCACGCCATCTTCCCTCAGCACGTTGTTTTTGTACGTGCTCCAGGATGAGCCAAGTAGCCGGAGACCCCGATGATATGCCGGATGCAAACCGAAGCAGATATTCCATTGCGTAGACATTGTCTGGATTGATCTGCTGCAACCTCCCACGAAACTCCGTGATATATTCTTGATGCAAGTATTTGGCAAAGTAGTATGCCGCACAATACTCCTGAAACATCTTGTAAAGGAACGTGACTTTTACCGTCGAGTCGTCTACAGGTTCCTGTTGTATGAAACCACTTTCTACGGATGCATCATTTAAGACAAATGCGCAGTCGTCGAATTCTCTTTGCGTCAATACGAGTTCGCGGTTATCAAGTAACCCATCTAACGCGATACGTCCCAGAACTCTTAGTGCAGTCTCCAAACGCTGCTTCCAATCTTCTCCGCAGCGGCGCCGAGCAAGAGCCTCCATGAATGTTCGGCACAGCTCCGTTAATCGGTCAGGCAATTGCGACACACCCAATTGGAAAGTGTGGCAAACTATGTGACAAACAACTGGAAGACGCGCCAATTGTCGAAGGCTTTCCGTAGCCTTCATGATTTCAATTAATTTGCGTCCCTTACTCTCCTCATCTCTAAAATATTTACAGATGTATTGCTTTGTGTTTTCCTTTGTGAATCCGGATATTTCAACACACAAAGACCCGGGATAACCTTTGATTATATCTTCGACCTTCTGAGGCCGCGTTGCTACTAACACGCGGCTTTGTTTTAAGACGTGCTTGTGCAACACATTATACACGCAGTAGTCATCATTCGAAGGTTCAAGAAAATGGTGTGGAAGTTCATCGAAACCGTCCAATAAAAAAACACTTTCCTTTTCGTTTTCAGTAATAATTCTGATTAAATCATCGCGATCTGGCCGTTCATCTCGCACAAAGCATTGGTCTAAAATAGCATCAATGATGCTTGATGTTTTCATTTTTTTCAGCTCGATCGAGAACAAAAGCTTGAAATTGGAAAGTTGTTTGGATGTTGTCCAAGTGTGTGCAATCTTCTTGAAAAGAGTAGTTTTGCCAATTGCAGCCCCGCCTAAAAGAATTATCATCAAATTCTTTACCTTTTCTGGATTAAGCAAATCTATCCAAGAGTCTAGGGTTAGTTTGTGAGGTTTTTGCAAAGGCATTTTCCCTTCTCGTGTGGCTACATCTTCGTTGGCACTCTTTTCGATAGCTTCAAGGAGCTGTAACTCAGTATAAAGCTCAACATCAATTTCTGCTATCGATCTTGGGGGGTTAGCTTGCCCTTTTGGGATGAACAGAGTCTTGTACACATTTCGTAGCTTTTCCTGGACAGATTGCAGTACAGTGCCTGTTGATTAAATGATTATTATAAAGGTAGATTTTATCTTAGTTTGAAAACTGACCATAGATTCACAAAACAGAACTCAGTCATCCCTGACAAACTGATCTTGTCATCTTGACAGGAAAGGTCATTTTGAAACATGCTATTGCCACGAACTGCTATACCACTTTCAATCATGTCATTTAAAATAACATGCATCTTGTCAGGCTTTATTAGTTAATTCATTTAATAACATATCATACAGGCTATTTATTCAGTAAACCTGTTTTGAAAATGGTCCTGTAAGTAAAAACAATATTAAGAACACCCAATATTATTCAAACATGAAACAATTCATTTTAATTAAAAAGTAAGCTGGAAGCTTAAAAACTGACAATCAATTAAAATTCATTGTAAAAAATGTCAAATTATTGTTAAAAAAATGTTTCAAAACCTATACATGATCGATTAAGATTCTTTGGAAAAGAAACTTTTTAAGCTGTTTTAATTTTTTTTTTATTTTAACACCAGTAACATCTTTAAGAAAATCTGGTATATTGGCCGCGCTGTGCCACAGTCTGGGTCCGATATATGTCAGTAAAAATGTTTCCTAACTCCAATCTAGGCATATAGGGTAATATAAATTCATTGGGTGAGAGCGAGTGACAATCCTACTTTCATTAGCCTCAATTTGCAAAACAATATTATCAGAGTGGTTTTAGTTAAAAGCCAGTCCATGGATACATTTGAACAGTAAAACCATATTGTAATAATCCCTATCGACTTGACCAGGTCTGTTCCTTCACAGCTCAAATAATCGACATTCTCTACCCAACAGAAATGCAAACACTATTTTCCTTTGTATGATTTTATCCTCCATCTTGTGTGTCAAATACATTTGGGTCTCCAATTTTAATCAAGGTGTTTTAAACATTGTTTCTTTAAAGAACACACGAACAGTGGCGCAGGTAATAACAATGACCATTCAGTCATATCTATAGAGCTCAGAAAAGAATAACAAGTGTGATGACACGTTGCAGAAACTGTTACCATTACAATTTAACGGTACTGCGTTCCTCACAATTTCAAAGTTCCCAGTGATGATAAAATATCATTATCGTGAAACACTGCGAAAAGCTTACCTGTGTCAGAATATTCTATCTGTACATCTATTGGCATCCATGGTTGCCTAGTTCCTGGAAGCAGATGTACAAACCAGATTGAGAAGAAACAATATCACTATAAACACGTCGACACGGTTTATAGAATGGTATAGTTATTATATTTTATATTTTGGACAGAGGTACAGCCTCGGGAAATAGGACCTTCTTCTGGTCACTCACAGTCATTATGTTCGAATCGTCGCATATAATTCCCTTGGTTTATCGGCATAAACGTTTCATTCATATTTGAATTATCTGGAATGATCGAGTTAGTTATTTGAATTAGCCCGTAAA